AAAAAATAGTATTGTCGAACATGTTATTGGTTACAATTATGATGACAATTCCGTTGTTGGTGGTCTTTATACTCGTGTTGGTATTGGAAGTAAGTTGAACGAAAAATATGAGATACTGCTGATCATTTAAAAGAATTATTCTAGTTTTTTGTCTTGGTACAGTAATTCATTCAAGTCTATCGATTCTTAGTAATTTGGAAAATCGTTCATGTATACGATGGACAACTGTAATTGACGATTTCTCACGATTACTCTTCAGCCTCATTCAATTCTTCTTTATTTTCAAACATTCAAATGTATGTTCTTCTGAAATAATACAATATCAAAAGATAGGTCGAAGATTGACCTTTTTTTTTAGCTTATCATTCGAACCCATGAGAATGTAGCTCGATTGGCAGTTATTCATATTGTTGTTACCAATTTATGTGTATGGTAGGTTCACTATCACTCATAATGAGAAAGATTTTTTTTTAATTTTCAAGTATTCATTGATGCAAATATCATCTTTGAAAAGTAGGATAGTAAAATCCTTCATTCATTGGTGGTCACAAACGATTTTCATTCCATCAGAAAATATTTCTACGAGATTTTATTATCATAAGATAATGTTCCATTATATATTTTGACAGGTTTCGCATGGTTGCGATTGAAACGAACTCGCAAATTGCGGAAATAAATGGTCATGAAATGATTGTAGCACAACACAGTAGTACGGCTAGCCATTTTAATAATGGTAAGCATTCATCATCATTATCATTTTTTGTTCACCTTTCATACACTTTTTCAAATCAAAAAATCAGGCAGTCAAGATGCAATCAATCTTCTTCATCGTCTACCGATTTTTCATTCGGAGTGTTCAAATTTATTTGCCAACGGCACATTACCAGTTACTACCGTCATCCTTGAAGGTTACATGAGATTGAAACCACTTTTATATCCATGTACAATCGAATTTAGTCTCATGTGTCTAACAGTAAGTTCTTCTTGTTTCTAGTTCATTCCTATGCATTCTAATTGATTCTATATAGCTGTTCTTTCTCATCTGGGAAAATATTGGTAAAACATTTACACATAACATATCGGATAAAGAATCAACAAAAAATGTTTTCATGGTTAATTGTCATGCATCCATCAAAGGTCTCTTTGTTGGAATGATTGTTTTCTCTTGTACAATGATTTCTACCATTCTCTATGGTGCTTTTCGACACAAAACTGGTGATAATATCCATGTGAAACCATCCTGGTTGGCTGAGACGGCTCACGATCATCAACATGCTAATCTTACAAGTACAGCAATAATATCGCATCAACAACATTCAATATCAAAGACTTCGAAAACGATAGATTACAGCATAGCCATTCTTGAAATCTGGAACTTGTGTTTGTTGGCTCTTTCACTATGTACTACTATATGGTCATTCATCAAAATTCACAAATTGAATTATCGCCGAACGACGACACGTGAGTGATAGAAGAGAAAAAAACACATCCATTACGATATGTTACTCTATCTGATAGGTTTCGACGATGTTCTCATCATTGTCTCATTAACAGGCATCTATTTGTATTCGATCTTCAGTGCTTTCGCTATCATTAGTAAACTGAATTCATCAACATGGGTCATCTATGTTAAAGTAGCAATCATTATTTTAGGTATGATATGTGTTAGACTAGAGGATTAAGATTAGTAATCGACAAATGTGTGATATGCTGTACTGATCTTTGAGTCGGTTCAGTTTACAATTGGAATAAAGTAGATCTTATTGATAATTTTGTCTCTTGTAGAATTCATCGAAGGTACTGTTCAGGCATTGTTCATTCTTATTGCATTGCGCAAACGTCAGAGACAAACAAATAAATATGAATATCCAGCGCGTGAAATGATCATTCTATTAATCATGCTTGATCTAAGTCTCTGGTTCGAAAAAACAACAACAACGACTAAACATGAAGCAAATCCATTTCAATTGGCTTTCTATCATGTCATTCCATGGTCGATCATTGCTGCAATTGCTACACCACTTCAAATACTTTTTCGTTTTCATGCATCTGTCTGTCTTTCACATGTATGGGCAAATATGTACTACTTGCCGACTTATGAACCAATAGCTCCTCGTGATTTTTGATTTTTTTTTATATACTATTGTGTTGTATCTTTTTTTTGCACGGCAAATACAAAATACATGCTTGACATAGATGTAGAATAAACTTCGTTGGTCTTTTTCAAGGCATTAGCTCCGCCGTTCCACCCCGCAAGAGATAATATACTCGGTAAATGTGTACATTTCATGAAGCATGAAGAAGAAAGATACTCCTGGTAAAAATCTATTTTAAATATTATTCACGTTCTATTCATAATCAAACAATACTTTTATTTAGATAATTATGTGAATATGTAGAGTATTAGAGTCAAAAGAAATTATTCCAAAGTAGCGAGGCTGTTATACAATTTTAGTAAATAATTCAACTCGGCAAATCCAACGAAATATATCAGAAGGATGATTGGCCAATGGGCACTGATGAAAGGCATTACCAAGTCGGCACGAATAGCAGAATTCTTGAGAAATATGGATTTCACGCCGTAAACGAACATGAATACGGTTATGAAAAAGATGTAGATTAGGATGATAACTCGAGAAGAGGGTTTTTACAACATAAGGAATAGGAAACTATTGGAAAACAATAGAATTGTGTAGATGACGAAACTAACAATAAATATTGATATATGATAGTGGCCTATAATCCATTGTAACCAATACAACAAATATTCATGGCGTGGTAGTCGAGGAGGACAGCAAATAGATCGTAATGACTACAAAAGAAACGAAGTGCAGAATGTAACACTAAATAAAAAACAAATTCTAGGATCATGAAAGATTTACCTATTCTCCAATCCAAATACTAACATGTACTATATATTGACGAAAACAAATGGTACGACATACAAATGTATTATTTGCCAACCAACGTGAACCATTTACTATTATATGTGGTCTATGAAGCAAACGGATTCGATTTGAATGTACCAAAGGCAAGTGAAAAGATGCACTCGATAAATGTTTGAATCCATCGATCAAACTACGAATGCAGTTTATCAAATCCATACGGTTCACATTCACATGTAAATATTCCACACATGTAAATATTCGACACAACTGTGTAATGTCAGAAACACGTGTAATCTCCCGAAAATCTTCTAGTTGGAGTGATCGAATCTGTTCAATTGATTGCATCTCTCGAACACTTACAATCTATGAAGATTGGGCATGATATTTGATAGAATTGGTAGATTAGAATGATTTCTCAACCAATCCAGAATCAAATGTCGTACTCGACTTAGATCAATCATTGTTTGAAGAGTTGTCAATGGTATTGTACATCTAAGTTCTAATATTTAAATATGAGTGAAATAATGAAGATCGACAATTGAAACTTCTGGAAGTTGCAAGTATTTTATATGTAGGAAAAAGAATCTATCATCAGGTGGTGTTGAATGAACAGGAGGATAAAAAGGAACCGAAGCAATCGTATCGGCAAAATAAGTTACCGAGAAAAGACGATAACAATCAACTTCAAGTTGAAAATTAAAATGAAATGTAACTAAATCGATTGCCAATATTTCCTATCGTCGTTCATTAGCAACATCAATATGAGCTTTTCCACTGAAAACAAATGTTGAAGACGATGCAACTTTCAGAGAAACAATTCCATTGTGTTCATCGATAGAACTAAAATAGATCAAGAGAGAATGTTGCTAATAAAATACTCGTATCTTATTCGACTTACCATCAGTTACAAAAAGAGGTTTATTCTTATTGTCAATTTGCAGAATAAATCTAATTAATCGAGATAAAGTTGGAAAAGATTCGACATATTGAGAAATTGAATACAAATGAATATTGAATGATTGAAGTTGTGAAGCTTCAGTAAAAACCTTTTGAAGATCATTGATAGAACAGTTACTAATTGTTAACTGTCGAAGACGAGATAGAGGTATCATATTAAAACGATACTCTTTTGTGAAATTTGTCATACTATCGCTTCGTTCATAGACATTATCCGTATATTCATTAGTCACAAATGAAAGAGAATTCAGACATTCAAGTTTATCTAAATTTGAATGAATGTGCTGCAATCAATCAGTTTTAACATCAGACAATATTAATGATCGTAAACGATTGAATTGTTCGATTTGAAAATGACTAAAGCAAAGCTTTGTTTGACAAGGTGTGTCATGATGATCTGATCGGGTCGAATACGACGGCAAACGAGATCAAAATAAGACTTGCGAATTGATGTAAAGTCAACTGGATAGTTTAAATATGTGATTATAGCTATATCAAGATATGAACTGACATTCGTAAAATTAAGAAGAATTTCATGTGTCAAGAAATAGTTGAATATTCTATAAACTAATTTGATGGGAAACCTATCAAGCTAGCAATGAGACATGATTGTAGAATGTTACGTAAATAATGGTTCACAAACTAATTTTATTCAATGAAAGTCGACGATAAGCACCTTTTTTTTTCTTCACAACATTATCTATTGTTGGATATGATAAAAGATAGTGTTTTGTTTGTCTGTAGTACACTATACAACAATACGTACATATAAGGAGTGCTACTATAAAATATTCACCGTAAGACCTCTTATTGGAATGACTGCAAATGGGCAGAAATAAATCTTTAAAAAGGACTCATCTTCGAAACTGAACTGTTATTTTTCTTCATCGGACAATGAGACCATTTCTTGCTATGTGAATTTCAATTAGTGGTATAATCGCCGGAACACACGGAGTTGTCATGCTCCCTGTAAACATCTCTTTCTCAGTCAATAACGATATTTGTCCTCTTGTAAAAGTTTTCTTTCGCTAACTTGCTGCTCCCTTTCCTGAGGGAACAATCTTGTAGTTACGCCCTAACCTCTATAGCTGAAAGTATTGTTCACACACAGATTCTCAGGAAAATAACTCATTCTTCATCGATTTGATTGATTAGACTCGATAGATTAAGTGCTTTTCTTTCAAAAAAGTAATACATAGATCGTAAAAAGCTGGATCATAAAATCAGAAAATAATTTTAAGATGAACGATGGAGCTTTTGTAAGAGTATAAAATGGTCTATTTCATTTATTGATAAAGGAGATGTTTACTTCTTAAACGAGGAAAAAAAAGAAATATTAGTGTTTGAAAAAGTACAATGCATTCGTATGCACCTAATCATTTGTAGTAATTGCTCCTTTCTTCGATGAAGCACTTCGATAAATAACTGAAGAATGGCGCACTTAATTAACTGGCAAGAGTTGGTTTGGATGGCTGTGAGTGTGAGTGTGGGATTCTCTTAACTCACACCCACACCTACACTTACCCACACCCACACCCTTATAGATTTAACTTTGGTTAAGTTTATAAATAACAGAATAAATTTAGTTCTTTGGCTTTTCCTATAAATCCAATAGAACTATTGCCATCTGAAGAGATCCTTGAGCAAGATCGAAACACGTGTCATGGCGGCTTGTCACACCCACACCCCTCCCTCAAGCTACGATCTCTCTTATTTCTAAAAACCTTTGGATTTTGCCCAAATGATTTTGGAAATAATTGTGATTCACCTGCAATATATTGATGATAGTTTAACGAAAGTTTTACTCAACTTTCATTGAACTGTCTCAAATTTGTAGATTAGAATTAAATTGCAGCATTGTAAAAATTTAATAGCCGAACTTACCTGATGAGGATCCTTAAGCAAGGTCGAAACCGGTCGTAAGTATAGCTTGTGCTATTAAATGAAATTCAAATTTATACACACCCACACCCACACCCACACCCTAGCTTGAAAGTTTTATTTCAAAACTTTTAATTATAGTAATTATTCATAGTAGGAGAACTTTTATTTCAAAATCAATCATACTTCTTCTAGGGCAATTGATAAGTCTAACTTTAGCACTTATTGAAACCGGTCTTGCTAGCTATTTATTACATGATTGATATTTTCTTGTACACACCCACACCCACACCCATCGGCAAGATTGAACAAGATACATCCCCGTGCTCGTTTTCTGCATTTTATTTTGACAATGAAAATAATGCAAAAGTCGAGTAGAAAAATTTATATATTTCAGTCTGGTCAGTGTATTTCACCACTAGTTATAGCTAGACGACTGAAACTTTCAGAAATAATAGATCTTGATAAGATATATATGTGATAAAAATTTCAGCTCTGTTCGTCAAAAAAAAGTATAAAAAATATCATTAATCATTTATCGTCAGTTATTATGAAACACCCTTTAAATGTTTAAATATATCAGATATATATAATTTTACAAAATAAAATTCAACATTTATGAAGAAAAAACCAAATGAGACTCATCTTCATTCTTAAATTGAAATTTTCTCTTTTTTTTCCTGTCTTCTGTTTTGTTCGATCATCATTCGTTTGCTTGAATATCGAGCACACAACATTCAAATTGTTCTTATACATTCGAAATGAAAAACAAATGAATTGAACATGAAATGTTTACAGACGATAAAGATGTCGTGCACTGCGTATTATCACTTCGTAATGTCGACGTCGTTTTTTTCATCTCTGTCTTTTTTATTTTTTCTCCCTTCCGTTTCTACGTCTTCTCATTCTTCGTAACAGAAGAACAAACAATTTTAAACCAATGGAGTTTTCAAGGGTGGCTCTAAATCAAATTAACCTTCCCAAGGATATCCGACGTTCTGTTGGTGATCTGTACAGGCGTGCAGATGGTAGACCTTCATAACATACATCTATGCATGTATGACTAGAAGCGTCCATCTTATCATTGTCTTGCCAAAGATGATGATCATGGATGTACTAGTCATACATATTATACATGTATGTTTGTCTAACCATTGCCGGCTTTGTCGACTGTACAACCCAACAGAATGCGAAGGGTATCCCTGGTCACGCGTGCGCGAAATCCTTGCAGCTGGTAGGCTTTCGAGAGCCAAATGTGCTAGAAAGCTAATTTATTTTCTCATTTAGAAAAAAACAATTACATTTTCTTTTTTACATCTTCAATGTTACTTTTCACAAGCGCAATATGTGGATGTGTTGGAGGTAGTGATTTTTTCCAGATGTCTTGGGCTTTTTCGTAATATCGAAGTGCTTTCGAGTACTCGCTCATGTTCTCATACGCATTACCGATGTTGTTGTAGGATTGAGCGAAGTCGGGATGATTCGGAGGGAGAGCTATTTTTCGGATTTCAAGTGATCGTTCATACGATAAAAGTGCTTTCGAGTACTCGCCCATGCTATCATACACATTACCGATGTTATTGTAATCAGAAGCTAAGTCGGGATGATTTGAAGGGAGAGCTTTCTGGTCGATATGAAGTGCTTGTTCGTGCGATGAAAGTGCTTTCGAGTACTCGCCCATGTTATCATACACCATACCGATGTTGTTGTAGGAAGCAGCCAATAAGGGATGATTCGGAGGGAGAGCTATTTTTTGGATTTCAAGTGATCGTTCGTACGATGAAAGTGCTTTTGAGTACTCGTCCAGATTATCATACACCAAACCGATGTTGCCGTAGGAACTAGCCAAGTCGGGATGATTCGGAGGGAGAGCTATTTTTTGGATTTCAAGTGACCGTTCGTACGATGAAAGTGCTTCCGAGTACTCGCCCATGTTATAATACACCGCACCGATGTTGTTGTAGGAAGCAGCCAAGTCGACATGATTCGGAGGGAGAAGTATTTTTCGAATTTCAAGTGATACTTCGTACGATGAAAGTGCTTTCGAGTACTCGCCCATGTTTTTATACACATTACCGATGTTGTTGTAGGGAGCAGCCAAGTCGGGATGATTCGGAGGGAGAGCTATTTTTCGGATTTCAAGTGATCGTTCGTACGATGAAAGTGCTTCTGAGTACTCGCCCATGTTATCATACACCGCACCGATGCCGTTGTAGGAAGTAGCCAAGTCGGGATGATTCGGTGGGAGAGTTTTCTGAATAATCTCCAGATTTTTTTCGTAATATGGAAGCGCTTTCGCGTACTCGCTCATGTTAACATACACATTACCGATGTTGTTGTAGGAACCAGCCAAGCTGAGCTGCCTCGGAGGGCTCATTTTCTTGCAGATATCAATTGCTCTTTCGTGAAATGTTATTGCCTTCGAGTATTCTCCTATGCTTTGATACACCGAGCCAAGTTGACTATTATACTGTGCTTCGTGTCCATCAGAAGATGCTTTCTCAAGCAGCAGCTGATAGAGATGTTCTGCTTTTGCAGGCTCACCCAACTTAAGAAGAATTGCACCCATCCGAGACCACCCTGTTTCCACGGCCTCAAGCTCTTTGCGTAAACTTGCTGTAAGTTTGTTAAAATCATCGTCTTGATTCCCTGCGAGGGTGAGATTCACTTGCCAGAGACGATCTGTATGCTGATCTTCAATACGTTCTATACGGTCGATACGAAAAATTGTATGAGTCGAAAAAAGAATTTCTTCTTCTTGATCGTCATAGAAGCCAACATTTTTGACGTTAACGAAAGGTGTCGATGATGCTGTGCAAATGGCCGTATCGATGTTCATAACGAAGAGAATGCCAACTGAATTCTCATTGAATGCTGCGAGTCGTGCGTAGCTTTGCAAAGAAATCTCACGATCACGACTTGTTGACAAAAAATTATTAAACGACATAAGTCCACCTTTGGTTTTCTTCATTTTTTCAAAAGCTTCCATGGATAAGCCTTGACCACGAAAAACTTCAAATTTGGATGGCATTGCTGCTTTGTTGCTTTGTTGTTGTTCGCGATGTAATTCTGTAATATCTTGATGTAGATGGCGGATGAAAAAGCCCATTTTAAGTATAATGTCGACATCCATTTGTCGAAGACCATGATTAAGCATTGAGTAGATAAAGTATGGACCCGTGTACCACCAAATTGGTGTATGATTACGATATTCTCGTTCGATCTTTTCGAGTGTTTTTTCGGAAGCATTGCCTTGAAGACGATAGTACTCAACAAGTTCTTTAATCGATTTTGTATCATCATCTTCAATTTCCAAAAGTGCTTCTTTTAACAATTGCGTATACATAAATAACGCATCAATACCATGATAACTGATCGGGATCATATCTTGATCACAATGTTCACAATCGATTTTTAATACTTCACAAATTGCTTCGATTTGTGTGTATACATCTTTTACCTTGGGTATCGTTTTGATCCAATATTCATGAATCGATTGATTGTCACAGAAAACATAAATGGAGGCTAATTGTGGACATACTTGGATTTCTGGTATGATATGTTGTCCCAATGTACCAGACACAATCATAAATACTTTTTCATCTTCAATGTCACTGAGAAAATCAACACATTGATCAGCATCCATAAATATTGTAATTGATGCCACAATATGTCGTAGATGTTGTATTGATTCTTTATAATTCTCTTTGGATTCATCAAAAGCGGCATCAAGCCAGATCAGAAGAAAATTTTGAAGAACTCGACGCACAGGTCGGGATAGCACGGTATCTCTTTCCGTCCTCTTCGTTTTTTTACTACTGACAGTCGCAGTACCATCACCATCACTTGTCGATGATGGTACAGATGACGAGTTCTTCCATTTATTTGTAGTGACCGATGACGAGATGAAGGAGAAAGAACCACTAGCAGTTGGTGGTGATTTTTTTTCGTCCATGATGATAATAATAGTGTTTTTAGTCGACGAACGAAAATAAATAAAAATCTAAAATATTGTTGAAGATGATGAAACGAACACAAACAGACTTCGTCTGTCTCTGTCTTCTGTCTGTATCTATCTGCTGTCTCTCTCTATATTGTTGCTTGTTTCTTTCTTTTGTTGACACTTTTCTGACTGATTGCTATAGACTTTAAGGACTTCTTCTCTCTCGATCGTTCGTTCGTTTATTTCAAGAGTTTTGTTTTTTTTTGCTCTTTCACTTGCTTTTATCTGGCTTCATTAGAAAATTCTCTTATTTTATCAACGTTTCTACGTGCAAGACATCTTGAGTTAATAAAATAAATGTCTTATCACAAGACAAACGAAAAAGAAAAAAAACGAAACTACTCTTTTCTCCTGTGACTTCTGTCGAGCACACAATTTCTTTTAATTATAATAAAGCATAAAAGAAAGAAAGAAAGAAAGAAAGAAAGCAAATTCATTTTTTTTTGTTAATGTAAAAATGTTTAAAACATAATTTTTTCCATATGAAATGAAAATAAAAAAATTCATCGTGTTTTTGTTGAATTGGTTGTGAGGCTCAAGTCATTATGTTTTGTTTTCTTTTGAAATTTGCATCATCATCTCAATAAGGCGAGGAAAAAGCAGAAAGACAAACGAAAATAAACTCATGATAAAATGAGGGTGTGGGTGTGAGTATTTCCATCATTTACACCCACACCCACACCCACACCCACCCACACCCATACCCACACCCACACCCACACCCGCACCCGCACCCACCCACACCCACACCCACACCCACACACACCCACACACCCACACACCCGCACCCTTGTACGAGTGTGTGTAATTTGTTACTGAAGGATTTCTTATCTTGCGTTTCAAGAGTGTACAAAATGTAAGTCTGTATCAAAGATCAATAATGAAATTCATGGATCGTCATGGAAAGAAAGAAAAGAATCGAAAGATCATAATAGAATGAATGCTGTTCTCATTGTTATCAAGCATTTTTTCCAACATAGTAGTGGATATGGGCTGCTAGAAGGGAGGTGTTTGAGATTGATAAGGTTAAAAAACAAAGACATTCATTCTGGAGACATGGTTTTTTCAGTGAAGGAGCAACAATTCATTTCAAGTGTGTTACCTCCTCTTATCATTGACTGGCTGACTATTTTGTTGAAGGATATCACGCTATTGAAATTAATCCGGTGAAAGATATCAAACAGGAGAATGTTAATGATGCATGTTGGGTGAAATGGATGATAGATAGGTGATAGTAAACAACACATGTTGATTTTCACTCACACCTACATACCCATCCTGATTATTATATCATAGGATATCATAAAATATATTGATTTGTTTGAAATAATCTTTCACAAAAGTGTAACCTTTTTTTCTTGTTTTTCTTTCGGATACAATTCAATAGATATCGATCAATCGTTTATCACATGCTCAACTGAAAGACTTGAACGAAAAAATCATTTATGTATATATATAGGATTTACAGATATGTAAGTTACTTTTTTTGTCTTAACTGCTGTAGTCTAAACCATTACAATAAAGTAATCGATCGAATTATTATAATTATTACATTATAAATATATATATTCATATTGATAAATCGCCTGAATATTTTGTAAAACACATTAAGCAATCATGTTTTTAATGTTTTAATCAGATAGCAAGCGCGATATAATTATTGAATAATTTCATATTAAAACATTGACAAAGTGGTTTAATACCCACATAAAATCTACATATTTGGTATTCATTACTTGGAATTGTCTTTAATATCGGGATCAACATTAATCAAAACATCGTCGAACAAAGTTATTTGAATCATTGTATGTTATTCGAATTGCAGATACATTTCGATGAGCATGAAAAAGAATATTTTTCACATATCGTAGCAGATATATATATATAGGTGAAAATTGAAACGCCAGCACCACAGGATGACATTGCTACTGTGACTATTGTTGTCATATAATAGGGATGCACCAAGTCCTAGAGCATAATATGAAAGATGGCAATTTTTTCTGTTAAAAGTGTAACTGGCTTTCCATTGTTTGCATCAGTTATGATAAAATTTTTTGCTCTACCTGAAACTGTAATCGAAATTCCCAAAATAAAAAATAAAGGTCATAGAATTGGTCGGAAATTCGAATTTTGAAATTTTTTTGACCAATTTCAGACTAATTCAAGCTGATTTTGAGGCTCGTGCTTTCCCTGGGATAAAATATGTCACTAGATTCAGAAAGAGCATTCAAAACTGAACACAACTAGCATAAATAATTATCGAAAGTCTCGTAATTCGTAAGACGAAATCTATTTTGATTTTCATTGAGAAATTCCAGGAATTGGTCGGAATTGGTTTAGTTTTTTTAGCTCTATCTGAAACTGTGATCGAAATTTCTGAAATAAAAAGTAAAGGTTACGGAATTGGTCTGGAATTGGTCAAAAAAAATTCAAAATTCGAATTTCCGACCAATTCCAGATCAATTTCATGACCTTTATTTTTTATTTCGGAAATTTCGATCACAGTTTCAGGTAGGGCAAAATAAGTTGATCATAACTGACGCAAACAATGGAAAGCCAGTTACACTGTTAACAGAAAAAATTGTCATCTTTCATATCATGCTTTAGGAATTGGTGTATCCCTATCATATAATTGATTTGAAAAAACATTAACGTAGTGACAGATAAACATTAAATAAAAATACCCAGGTCAATGATTCTGGAGAACGAATACTACAGGAACCGACAAAAAGATGCGGAAAATCGCAGAAACTGAAAGCAGTATTCCGATGGAAAATTTTTGGAATTTTTTTCCGATGATTTTCGGTCAGCTCCTGCTAGAAAGCACAGGAAATTGGTCGAAATTTACCGGCAAAAGTCGAAAATTTCCCGCGGGAATACTACTTTCATGTTCCAGCGATTATATTATTTTTTCTATCATGCTATTCTCCTTTCAGTAGAGGGCTTAGCGACGTTTGCGTCGCATTACTTGTTTGTTTTCCAAACTTACGTCGTTTATCAATTAATTATCTCACTCATTCACATTTTGATGATACTAAATCACGCATTTCTCAATCATCAAAAGATTTAAAATGTGTTACACTTAAATTGGAGCTAATAACATTTAATATATTCGAAAAAATTATACAAAATATATTTTATTATGTTGAAATTTTACAAATTGCAACACAATATGATTCAGCATATTTAGATGCGAAATGATGGCAACATGTCATAACATATCTGATGCCAAATTTACGTGTATTTGATATAATTCATGAAGATTTTCGATCCAAAACTGATTTACCCTATCATGATTTAATTGATAAATTTAAATCGCCATTTTGGATTGAAAAAAATGGTTTTTTTACGCATCAACACAGTTGGCGTAAAAGTTTTGATGGTGGAGTGTTTTATTCAACTGAACCATATAGGTAAATAGCCAATTTAATTAAAAATAGATTAAACATCAGCTTAGTTCTATTT